GTCGCTCATAAAATGTTGATCGGAAAACGTCAAGATTGTTTGTCAAAAGGCTTCGCTTTCTATTCATTTAAAAGAATCGTCTCGAAAAGTTTTACTTCAGCTGAGTTGAAGAAACAAATCTCTCATCGGTCCTCAATAACTGAGCGAGAATAAAGAAAGCTCTGGCAAGCCTGGTTTCAAAAATTCCCAGCGCCATCTTTTGCATAATATTAGAGAAATCTAACTTCTTCACACAGCGCTTTATTGCTTACGCCGGGGCTTCCCAAATTTCTTGAACAGAATAATTTTATTTTCCGAAGTCCTAAAAATTCAATCTTAAAAATATACATATTAAAAGAATAAATGTATTTTTAACATTTTTATTTATTTAATTTTTACTAATGTTCACCCAATAAAAGGCCGAAGAGCCACTTAAGCTAGATTATTATTGTGTGGTGTTGCATGAGCGTAAGACGGACAAGAAGTAAAGTTCTTGGAGTTGTGCAGGAAATTAAACGGTTAACTCTAGACCTGAAAAGTCAATAATTAATTAGTAAAAACATTTCAAAGTTCTGGCGGAGACGTCAGAAGTATAAATATAAAGTTTGCCTTAGAAGGAACTGGAAACCCAATCCTAAACAGGAAACAAGGGCTAAAACTCTACTCCTCTTGAAAAATCCGGGGTGGAGTGTGAACCAGACGATAGGCTCGCACTTACTATTTAAAAAATATGAATTCAAACTTAATGTTTAATTGTAGATATCAAAGTCGGACATGATTGATATAAATTGCAACCTCATATAATTCTCTGAATTCAGTCTATTTCAATAAACAATTTTGAAGAGCAATACATTGCACCTTCTCGGATTAACGTTGTCTGCTGACATGAAATGCAAAGATTATATTGAATTAATTACTAGGTTTCCTGCAGATCTGTTGGTTCACTTAGTCAGGTGAGACACTTTTACCAGCTAGAATCTTCCACATTTAGAAGTCTACCATTCGTCTCTCCGTTACATAGTGCTATCTCATCTGATCTAGTGTTTCTACGTTAAAGATTCTTTATAAAACCCCCAAAAGAATCTACAAGGTTATCAGCTCTGACCTGACATTTTGGCTCCACTCACTTTCCCACCGCCATAACTTTAAATATTTTCTTGGTAATTGTTCTGATGAACTTTCCTCTTTGGTACCTCGATTTTATGAATTTAAGCGCAGGACTAGATTGGCAGCTAGGTCTCATAATTTTAGATTGCCGGATGTACCCGTAAGTTCTGTGCTAACAGCTCCTTCTCTCGCACTTCTCACTCGTGGAAGTATGTTCAGGCTTTTTGCTTTCCAGTCAACTTTGAGCTACAAAAATCTGAATATAGTGTCGATCGTTGTTTTCTTTCTTTTTAATTCCTATTCTTTTATTGTTCTATCTCCTTAATAATGTTTTTATTTTGCTCGTACTCCTTTACATCCAGTCTTGTGTCTTAGTGGCTTTATCGCCTTGCTTGGTGTGAAATGATTAAAAAATAGCTACGGGATATCATATACGGAATATATAACTATTTATCCTTTTTTATGCGTCATATCTTTTATTTGTGTTTGAAAATAGTTTTCTTTCTTTGTTTTTGGCAATATCCCCATTATGGAATGACACAATAAAAAGGCTCGCGGACCCCTGAACATTATTCATGAAACCCTAAGGAAACCCTGGCTTATGTAACCACTCATTTACAAGTGTTAGTAACAATTATTATTTCTCATCCAGCCCACACGTATGACTCCTTGAAGACATTCAGAACGACGGTGGCCACACCCCGGGCAACGGCATCGACCTGTCTGCCAAACTACGTGTGGGTAGCCAGTCGGTGAAGGGCAATCAGTTAACTTGCACCGGTGCCACCTCTTCCATTTTGGTAGGCTAGGCTGCCATATGGATGTCTACCAAATGAAATATAAACAACGCAAAAATTAAAAATACTCGAATTTTTCTCTTCATTTTTTTTTCTTTATTTCTCTGGTGAAGCTTTAATAGAAGCAAAATACAGTAGAATCCCTGACAACCGGACTAAGAAGGCCTTCCGGATATGAGGAATTCCGGATATGAGGCCTTCCGGATATGAGGAATTCCGGATATAAGGAATTGGTTACAAAGTCCGGATATGAGGGGTTATATTTAGATTAAAATAAAAGAACTTTAACATTAATGTTCAATATTTTACATTAAGCCAAATAAGCTAATGGTGAGTGAATTATAACGGAACTGATTTTAAGGAAAAAGAAATAAATTATGTAATGTTAATGAAAATTCATTAAATCATGTCGCGTATGCAAAATAATGTAACGAGTATTTTTTAATCGCTGATGCATAATGATTCTTTCTCTTCTAATGTCATTCTCAACTTTTGCCGCATTTCGTTTTGCATTTGTTCTTGATTTTTTTAAACGAAAGATACTTTTTAACTATGCGTGCGTCATTGCAATCGTCATAGCTGAATGCTGGCTTTCTTTCCATAAAACTAACAACCTTTTCAATAGCTTTTTCAATTTCAGCCCAGGTTTCATCAAAATCATGCATCTCGTCGTTATCTTGTTGCAGATGTGTCTCGTTGTCATCCTTTCCTCTTATTCTCTTCATTTTTTGCACCAATACAAGCCATTAGGGTGAAATAAGCATAAGCAATTATCCAAATTAAGTTTCCTGAAAAACAGAAATTTCGAATCAGTTACATATCACCGAAATAGTTTAAATATGCACATCAAAATCATGTCCTAGATATTCGGGATTCCGGATATGAGACTCTCCGGATATGAGGGATTCTACTGTATTTCCAAAACATTTATGTTTTATGAAAAAACATTTCCATAATTATTTCTTCTCTATAACCACTAGAACAAATTGAATCATAACAGTTACAACGCACCCAGTAACCGTCACGATAATACAATAGGCCTTACTACCCATAATGCAACATTGACTAGCATATATAAATAGTCGAGACAAAACACAACACATATAGCCTGAAGATTGAGTTGAAGCATAAAACAGACTATCGTCGCTTGGTATTGACCTCAGTGTTTCACTTATATTTACAACCGCAATAGCCCAGATATTGAGCAATTTAACCCATAAATATAGCATGCCTTATGAGTATATTTCTAGCATATTTAACTCCTGAAAAACAGAAATAATGTAATCAATAATAAAAAAATTCAACAAAAAGACTATAAAATAGCTACAAATGACTCCATTCAAATCCCTAGATTAATTAGAGACATAACCTTTTCCGCCCACCAAATAACCGTTAGGATAATACAATTTAACTTACTACCCGTAATGCACAATTGACCAGCATATATAAATAGTCGAGCCAAAACACAACATACATGGCCTGAAGATTGCGTTCAAGCATGAAACAGTCTGTCACTGTTTGATTTAACCTGAGTGTCCATTGTTATATTTACATACGCTCTATCCCTGATATCAAGCTAAAAAGCGCAATACACGTAAATATAAAATATCTTATATATATATATATATATATATATATATATATATATATATATATATATGTACAATAAAGGGAATAGGTTTATTTCAACCGATGAGATTCGTCAGTCTTATGCAATTAATAATACAATTTGCTCTGTAATGATAAAATACATACTTTTGTGGATCAGTTTTAATATTTTATATTACTAGGATCCAGTTGGATTATATACCAACGGATTTATTACCTTTACTCTCTCTCTCTCTCTCTCTCTCTCTCTATATATATATATATATATATATACCGTAATTCCCGTAATACGCATTTTTTCTGAAATATAATAAGCAAATTTATGCACAGCTACAAAAAATCTTTCTAAAAAATTGCTGTTTCATAGGTTGATTTTAGTTGCGAAATGACTACTCACCACAAACGTACGACAATTTGACGGTAACATTTGGCTATTGCAACCCCATAAAGATGTCAAATACAATCACATGTTCGAAATAATACTTACAAATGTAAAATAAAATAAGAATTATAATAAAACTAAATTAGAATAATATTATTGTATGTTTAAAACCATTTTTGTGAAAAACTACATTCAGATCCGGTAGATTGTATATTTTATCGGACAAAACAGGTTGAGTCTGCGCAGTAGGCACAATATTGATATTTCCATTTCCTTTTAGAATCGTGATGATCGAAAATTGATAAATATCTTCAATTACAGCTTGAATAAGTGTAGGAAACGCTGGCTGTAATGCAAATGGAGCGGTACAATTTATAGGGCTTGGTTACTAAACAAGGGGTGCGTATTATGCGTGAATAGAAGCATCTTCCCACACTTTCATCACTATTTTAGGGGCGCGTATTATGGATGAAGGCGTATTATGTATGTGGAATTACGATATATATATACATATATATATATATATATATATAATCTGACATTCTGTAAGGTGATGTTATAGATTCCTACATAAAATTAGATACATAATTTATTTCTTCTGTTTTCTCTTCGTTTTTTTTTTATTTTATTCTCTGCTTTTCTTTCAGCTTTTTTTTTTCATTGATGTTTTTTTAGTTCTTTGGCTTCCTTTTCGGTTGCTCCTGAAATTTCTTTTAAGCGCCAAGCATTGAATGACAACAATGTTCTTTTTGTCTCTCTACAAGCGAAAGATGCCGGGATAGAATGAAGTCCATGTTGCAATATCGTGTCACTTCCCTCAGGATTCCTGCTCTTGACTTCCGCCAGTAAAAAAGCATTACTTTGTTCCTCTAGCGCCGTTAATTCTACCTTCAGCGCGCTATGGTTTAGATAACCTTCATTTTGAGGGGATTTTAGGTTGTTTTCTTTCAATTTTTGTCGAAAATTTATTCATTGATACCCGGAAAATTAGGCGGGTCTGACAACGCGAAAGAGACAGTTATGGTCGGTTGAAAAAAATAAGCATTTAAAGAAAAGACATGAGGAAAAGAAATGAAAGGAATGAAGAACGGAAATAAAGAAATAAAGAAAGAAAAAGTCGAATGAAATTAAGTTAAACCAAAAAAAAATAAGAAAACCACATTAGGAGTAGTGAAAGAAAGAAAGAAAGAAAGAAAGAAAGAAAGAAAGAAGATTGCTATCTAAAAGAAAAGGGAAAAAGGATGAGAAAGAAGAAAAGAAAATAAGTGTTATAAGAATACTGATGATGAACGAGTGAAAAGGAGGGAATCAGAAAATACGAAAGAAAGGAAAAGGGGAAAAAGAAAGAAACAGAGGGTAGAACAGGATAAAAACAAGAGAAGAGAAAAGGAAAAATAAGACGGAAATGAAGTAGAAAGAAAGAGACGAAAATAGAAGAAGAAAAAGAAGAAGAAAAGAAAAGAAAGGACAAGAAGAAAATAAGACAAGAAGAGGAAAAAGAAGAAAAAAGAAGGATAAGAAGAAGAAAAAGAAAACGAAGAAAAAAGAAGAAAAAGAGAAAGAAGAAGAAGAAAACGAAGACGAAAAAGAAGAAGAAAAAGAGGAAGAAAAAAAGAAGAACAACAAGAACAAGAAGAGTGAAAATGACAGAGAGAGGGAAACTTGAAAAATTTAAAAAGAAAAGAAAGAAAGAATATCAGTAAAGAAAAAAATGTTTTTGCTTTAATGAAATCCTATAAATGTGCAAAACTCGATATATTTCGTTTAGCGTTTTGATCAGCTAATCGGATCAAAGATGCAGGAACTATCAACAGAATTCGCGTATCAACGTAATAGAATGATTCCTAACCAAAAAGAAATGGTTTTCTTTATATTTGCATTGCTTTAATTTGTAACATGTCTAGTGTCGCAAGATTTAAAGTTACTGCAAAAACTATATTTCTGAAGACCGATAGTAATATTAGTTGATAGACATTTTGAAGTTTCTTCAAACAAGAAAGTATAAAAATAAATATACAAATAATTAGTAACAAAATATATTATTGTATTACAATTAGTAACAAAATATTTTATTGCCTTAGCAAACTAAATTGAAAGAATAGAAAATGGATAGAGGCGGGGGTGCATGTGTATGTGTAGATATGTTATTTGTTTCGTATGTACATGTGTACAAATTTCATATGAAGTATTATACGAGATTAACATTTATGAAGATTTCTTTTTTTTAATTTAACAGAATGTGACGACGTATGCTTGTTTAGACGGTATCAAATATGACGAAATGGTAGTGCGACTCGCGGGTTTTAACGGTAACGTTCCTTCACCGCCTTCTGAGCCAACATTATTATGACAGATCTGCGGAGAAGGACGTTGACAACGTTATAACTAGCACAGATGAGGTTAGACGAAAAGATATAGATAGTTTTTTTGTTTTGTTTTGTTTTGTTTTTTTGGTTTGTCACATGCAATAGTTGTCGGTGGTACTTTTTGCTACTAATATTCACTCTATACAAGTCCTAAGAGCCACTGAAGGTGGTTGTTGCATGAACAGTAAGGGTAAGAGATACGAAGCGCAGTTTATGAGGATATGTAAGATAGATAACGATTTGTAGAGGACAGTGTGTTTACCTGTTGTTAAATTAGGGACACGTGTTGTTTATTCCTGCTAGAAGGTCCAACTACAAGAACAATGCGGACTCAAGTTGAGTCCAACCGAAGATGTAAAGAAAATAAACAAGACCGATATATATATATATATATATATATATATATATATATATATATATATATATATATATCAACAAATATATGTATCAATCAACAAATTTACAAGTGACAAAGACACCAACATTTGTGTGTGAACGTAAAGAGTTTGTATTTTGGTTAATGTTCGTGCGTATGTGTATGCGTGTATAATGTTCATGGTGTCTCCCACAAATGCGAAGACGCTATCTTCTGCCAGAGCTCATTATATGTGTTCGTTGAAATGAAGAAATGAAACAAAAGAAAGAGGCAAGAAGTCCCCCAGTATTTATAGTGTAGGGAGAGCGACACCTAGTGAACAATTAGGAAATTAAGGAGGAGTTAACTCCGACAGATTAACCGTAGATATGAAGAGATCAAGATTGTAGTGGTAAGGAAAGAATCTTCTTGGCAGTCGATTGCACAAAGTAGCGGTACGTGGAAAAAAAAAACGATCGAATGGAACTTCCTTCATAATAATGGAATGTAAAGAGAATGTGGATGGTTCACCTCAGGGTACTTGACATGACGTGTCTTATCTGTGAGGGATAAAGTTGATGGAACTAAGGAATGTAGCTCGTTAAAATATTTTCCATGAGGATAGAATACTGAGAAGCTTACATCTAGTCTATGGGAAAGGAGTTGTACTGTGAAATAATTCATCACTCACAAGACCGCTTAGAGGCTTTTGAACTCAAGAGAGGAAAGTGAAAACTGGATATGACGATAAACTACATCTGGCAGCAAGGCCTCTGATCGGTAGATTTTGAGGGGCACTGAACCACCTCTTAATTGCTAATGTTCCCAAGTTCACTCTGGCCAGAGGTGGTAGCACCTGTTAGGGTTCCAGCCATGGGCAAATATTAAATCCCCCAAAAAACAGTATCTGTCTATATTTCTGAGATGAGGTATTATGTACATTATTCCGACTATTGTCCTCATCTTTGTCGCCATATTTATTACAACGTTTCGGCCGTTGTACGCTTTGGCCTTCTTGAGGTGGTTGGAATGTTCAACTGAACCCTTCATTTCGCTCACTGGGGTAGACTGTTCTAATTCCACGTGCCATGTTTAATGAATGTCAATTATCAGATATCTCCTGTTAATTACCTTCTGAAAGCCTTAACAATGGAGAACTTTCAGAGGGGAATTAACAGGAGATAACTGATAACTGACATCCATTAAACATGGCACGTGGAACTAGAACAGTCTACCCCAGTGAGTTAAATCTAGGGTTCAATTCGACATTCCAACCACCTGGAGAAGGTCGGAGCGTACAACGGCCGAAACGTTGTAATAAATATGGCGACAAAGATGAGGATAATAGTCCGAATAATGTAAATAATGTCTCAAAAATACTATGAAATTATAAAAATACGTTTCATAATAAAAAAAATACCAGAAATACTTTTATATAAAAAATATCAACAATACATATTTATAATAAAATTACCAACAATACATATTATCTTAAACTTAGCAACAATGCATTTTATCTATAGTTGAAGGCATACAATTGCGTTCAAAATGTATTTATTTGAAGACTTAAAAATGTATTAAAATATTTAGATTCCGGCATTAAATGATCCATAGAGGTGTCGATATACCGCTAAATAAAATCAACCAACCAACTAACAAGTAAAAAATTTGAACATAAACGAAAATAAAAATATGCCGAACTGGAAATGGCTGTTTGGGCTGATAAGGTGAACAGCCGATCATATTGAATCTCATCAGGGAAGAACGGTTTCCGGACTTTAATTGATTGGGAGTCAACACCGTGATCACCCTACTCCTATATATGATAGATCAGTAATGATATTGAGAGAGACTGTAATCTTTATAACAAACCTTCAAGTTTGGTTTCATTTATGATCTTCAAAAATTCCCTGCTAAATTGTCAAAACATATCAGTGACTTTTGAGTCAGGATGTTTTCCTATAATACCTGGCTGTTGAACTGCTTGTCAATAAACTTGATCTTTTCAGTTGCTAAGTCACCTTAAGTTCCTACTCGATTAGTATTCTTCCCTCCAAACAGATGTAACTCTTAAAATCCTTTTTCTTTTTTTTTCATAAGAAAATATATTTTCTTCCTTAGACCAAATTCTGATTATTTCACTTTTTTCCATAAACATACGCATCTAAAGTCCACAGTGTTCGGTCTTTCTGAGTATTGTTAGGTTCTTCTTCCTTAACCATTTGTTTGAAATAATGTTGAATGTCAATATATTGATTATTTGATGCTAGAGTCATATCAACAATCCCTTTTATGTGTTGCAAGATTCATGGGGTAGATTCTGTAGGACAGACATACTGCTAGAATATAACCTGTAAGTGCTCAGTCGGACTGATATCTGGAAAAATTGGTAGACAAAGCAATACAGTGAAATATTTATTTTCCTGAATCCGTCTCCCTATAACTTGTACATTGTAGTCAGGAACAGTGAAAAATGTCACTTTTATAACGTTGCCATTAATGGGTGAATGTGACCTTTTGAAGCAGCTGATACGTGACAATATACCTTTCTTATGAATGACAGGATACAGTGTTGTGCAGCATAATGTCCCCCAAACCATTAAACTTCTACCACGCCTGACTTTTTGATGTTTTTTTTTGTTTCGTTTTGTTTTTTACGCTTCTGCAAGATAACAACAAATGTGTATCTTGCTGTCCACCTCTTTTAGGAAAAAGTGAGACATTTAACCAAACACACTTTTCCAGTGATTCAAGGACCAAGCTCGACGTTAACATACCCATTGAAGACGCTTTCCGTGATAGACATTACTATGCTGAAGGGTAATAGAGACATGCTTTGCTGTAAGGGCATCCGGTAGTCAAAACGGTAATAAAAATTTCAATGATTACTCAAAAAAACGTGTACCTATTAAAGTTTATATTAATAATATATATATATATATATATATATATATATATATATATATATATATATATATATTGAACAATAAAAATATTAAAAATTAAAATCTTCAGACACACTGGGTTGTATATTAATATTCTTCCGTTTTTATTATTATTTCAGATAGTTGCCTCGATTAGTTTCGGCCTACATGTCCATCATCAAGAGAAAAAAAATTCTGCTTGCTGGTAGCAGTGAACTACAGAAATGAATATCTTGATGGAGAAAATGAACTTTTGTCTGTAGTTTTCATTTTTTTTTTAAACATGAATTTTGGTCAGTCCTTGTGTTGGTCAAACAGTCTCTTTTAAGTTGTTCTTTAAGATAAGAACTAGACTGATTCATGCTGCTCTGAATTCCCTTGGTCATTTTGACAGTTTTATTGGTTCCTGAAAAGGGGATGTGTTTCTGTTAAGTGTGTGTATGTTATTTGGTTCTTAAGGAGTGAGTTAGTATGATGTGTGTAAGCGTGTATATTACTATGGGTCTGTGTTATCATTTGGCTCATTCATTAGGGAGTGAGTGTGTATGATGTGTGTAAGTGTGTATATTCGTGTGGGTGTGTGTATAAGTGTTTGGCCTCAACAACTCCTCAAGCATGTCTGTTTTGTGTGGGTGAGAAATGTGGGTAGGTCCTGATTTGTGATGTTATATATTAATATATGATTAAGCCCGTCTGGATAGTGCTTTTTTAAACGTCGTATCCACTTATTTTCATGGAACTCTAAAATCTTTCTAATGTTATCTTCTCTGAACTTCATATATATATATATATATATATATATATATATATATATATATATATATATATATATCATAAAACAATTTACCATCTATTTCACTAACAAAATATAGTCCTGGGTATGACTATAAACTACATGCGGCAGCAATGTCTCTGATAGGGAGGTTTTGAGGAGCGTAGAACCCCCCTCTTAATAGCTAGAGTTCCCAGGTTCACTCTGGCCAGGGATGGTAGCACCGATTAGGCTTCCAGCTCTGGCCAAATATTGAATCTCCCAAACAAACACTATGAAAGTATAAAATACATTTTTGTAGTAAAAATACGAGCAATAGTTTTTATATAAAAAATATCAACAACACATACTTATAGTAAAATTACCAACAATACATTTTTATATTGAACTTAGCAACAATGTATTTTATCTGTAGTTGAAGGCATACAATTGCGTTCAAAATATATTTAGTTGAAGCTATAAAAATGTGTTTGAAATATCTAGATTTCGGCATTAAATAACCCATAGAGGTGTTGATAGATGCTAAATAAAATCAGCCAACCAACCAACAAGCAAAATAATTTGAACATTTTTCTGCAATGTACTTGTTGATATTTAATAGCCTAAATTTTTTTCTCATTATTTTTTCCCGCTTGAAATATTCAACTTGTTAACTACAGTAGCGTCCAAAACTAAGGGACAAAATTTTAAAATCTAATATTTGTTAGAAATAACAACTGTGAAAAACTGAAATTTTGACAACTGGTAGTCGTTATCATCCATAATAACATATTAAAATGTGAATCATTTGCAAAGGATAGAAAAAGAATTATAACAATTATTTATGTATTTTCAAAATAGGATCGTCCAAAAGTAAGGGACAAAATTGAGAAAAACAATGTAAACAGTATGCTATATTCAAATTTTTGATTTCCTCTAAAGAATAAGTCTTACTTAGTCATTTGTAAACGTTGCATCAGCCGGCACCATGGCGAAACGCCAAAAACTTGATTACTCTGTGAGACAAGCTATTGTGAAGCTACACAAGGAAAAGCACACCATTAGAGAGATTTCAGAGAAAGTGAAACGTTCCAAGAGTGTTGTAGGCAGGGTTGTTAAATCCTACAATGATACTGGCAAAATAGTTAGCTTTTAAAACCGGCAGACCCCGCAAAACTTCGGCAAGAGAAGATCGAATAATGCAGCTTATGTCATTAAAGGACCGTTTTAAGCCTTGCATAGAAATTAAAAGGGTTATGAATAGTACCTTATGTGTTAATGTGTCAAGACAGACTGTTTGTAGACGACTGCAAGAAATAGGGCTGTTTAATCGAACCCCAGGGAAGAAACCACTTGTTAGTTCGAAGAATAAGAAGAAGAGATTAGAGTTTGCAAACAGGTATGTAATTTGGACATATGAAAATTGGGCAAAAGTATTTTTCAGTGATGAAAGCAAGTTTAATTTATTTGGAAATGATGGAAAAAACAATGTAAAGAGACGTATTGGTGAAAGATTAAGTGCAAAGTGTACTAGGAAAACTGTCAAGTTTGGGGGCGGAAGCGTCATGGTATTTGGAATGTTTTCTAGCCAAGGTACAACGCCTCTTGTCCGGTTACAAACTCGTGTAAACTCGCAAATCTATAAAAACATTGTTCAAGATCATGTTGTGCCAATCATACAGAATTCAGGTTTCGATAAAGCTACCTTTATGAAAGATAATGCCCCATGTCACAAGGCAAAGGTGGTAATGAGTTACCTTAGCGAGCAAAATTTGGAAATTATGGATTGGCCACCGCAAAGTCCTGACTTAAATCCAATAGAAAATCTTTGGAAGACCTTAGGAGTGAAAGTTATGGAAAGAAATCCCACTAACACGGAGGATTTGTGGGTGAAGCTTCAAGAAGAATGGTCTAAAATTAGTATCGAGGATTGTCAAGAACTGATTCGTTCTTGTAGTCGAAGATGTGCAGCTGTCATTGAGAGCAAGGGCTCATTTACTAAATATTGATTGTACATGTATTTTTATTGTTTTTGCCGTTTACATTGTTTTCTCAATTTTGTCCCCTTACTTTTGGACGTCCCAAATTTGAAAATAAATAAATAATTGTTATAATTCTTTTTCTATCCTTTGCAAATGATTCACATTTTAATATGTTATTATGGATGATAACGACTACCAGTTGTCAAAATTTCAGCTTTTCACAGTTGTTATTTCTAACAAATATTAGATTTTAAAATTTTGTCCCTTAGTTTTGGACGCTACTGTACATTCGCAACTATAGCGAGAATAATTACAAAATTACATGATCCAGAAGGAACTAATATTTTCAAAGCTCTACGGCCTCAAACTTATGTTTCTGTCTGGTAGACGTGAAATACTGTATTTATTTCAGCGTTTAATATAACATCGATAGTTGAGCGAAACTGACAGCTGATCTTAAAGAAGAAAAGCACGGCTGTCATTGAAACTGAAATTCGGGAGACCGAAGCGAAACGGTAAAGTCAGAAACGAGTAGAAAAGTCGAATAAGTTAGCGAATATCTGGTCGATCTACATAGATAGTGTCGGCTCAGATGTTAAAGGAGAGAACGCGTTTTATTCAATCACGCGCCAGCTCGTAAAGGGCCGTTTAAAAGACGCTATGATGATAACTGACATTCGGAGCAGCCAGTCGGGAAATCAAGTTCGCCTGTCGAAAAACTGAAGCGCTGAAAGGGATTCTCTCTTCAGCAGGCGGGATATAACTCTTAGATAACATGATTTCTCAGGAGTGACGAGACGCCAAGACTGTAAGTTGAGAGGCATGAAATGATGGCGCCTCAAAAAATAAATAAATGCAGCAACGGATGAAGGGAGTTCAAATTCGAATTGCTGCTGCTAAAATTACTTTGGCAATGGCTGCCTTAAGCGAAATCTTAAAACTTACACTCTGGTCAATCACTTTTGTTTTGTCATTTACATCCGAGGAAAGGTTGGCTCGCAATGAAGACTTGCTTACGGCGATCTTACACAGGTTACTTCCAATGATGTTTTAATGAATGCTAAAGTGACGATTTAGTTTTATACTCTTTAATTTCCTTGTAAGTCACTTTTAAAAGGCAATGGGCTAGAAAGGTACAAGATAGCAATTTCAGAGGGCCATCACTTAGGAGATAAAGATATTTCCGAAATCATCAGAATTTTGGTAGAAAATACTTCATGATTTTTCAATTACAACACACATACAAACGCACACACATACAGACATATTTACTAAGAAACGATTCCAACACATGCACACACCCATGTGTGTGTGTGTGTATGTGTGTGTGTGATAAAGAGAGAGAGAGATTTTGTGTGAGTGGATGTGTGTCCTCAAGCATTTAAAATTAGTTTATATAGTTATACAAAACCAGAGTAGAAAGGAAAAAAAAGAAAGAAATCTATTATACTTAGAAAGAAAGAAAGAAAGAAAGAAAGAAAGAAAGAAATCTAACAGTCTTAGAATGAATGAAAGAAATGATAGATAGATAGATAGATAGATTCACATGAACAAAATAAATGGATAATAAATGCAGAAAAATATATAATAATGTTTGGCTATATATTCCATTTAATATGCCATGTCAGATGTTAAGAATGTTAATAACAATAAAATTATTCTTTCACCCTGAAACATATTTCCACATCATTTCTGAAACCAAGGGGAAACAAATAAGATGTAAAACTAAGAAATTTCTATTTAACAGTATTTGTTGACCAGTAAAAAATTGTTATTTTCATTATTTATTTGTTTTAAGGTTTATTTTCAGCGATGCTGGTCACGAATATGGATGCTCTTTTGGCTTCTACTCGTAGCTTCAAATAAAAATAGATTCTATTTGTTCGTGGACAGTTTCCAAAAATAATATGAAAAGTAGAAAATGTATTTTGGCGGATAATTCTTCAGTGCCATTGCTTTTCCAAAACACAAATATTTTTTGTCCAGGCATCAATAAATAAAATAAATGTTATAGTCTAACACAGAATGATTATAAGCGGTAGTTGTTACTCTTAAAAAGAAACCCACATAAGACACACCATTTTCCTTTGCCTGAGACCAATAAGTATGAATACCAAATTCGAAAAACTATTTATTTGAGAATATATTAGAATATTCCATAGCGTTTATTGGGGTCAAAACGGTTGTGTACAGCGTTAGTACACAAAAATAAGAAAAATAACGTAAAACCTCTTCTCAGTGGAATTATTTAACCTTTATGGCGCGGTGATCCTAAGAGAATTCGAATTTGTTAGTGGTGGACACAATTTTAACAATATAAGATATTTATTAAAGACATTTTTTATGTTTAACGTTCTTTTTATAGATACAAGTATTTAAGTAAATGCTCTGTTTATAATAAACAGTATTAAATAACATTTACCGGCCTGAATGTCCGAGAAATTTTCATAGAAAATATTCGTCCTTTGACAGGATTCGAACCTGCATCCTATACGGAACCGTCATTTACGCTGACGTGCCTTGACCGCTCGGAACAAGGATCGTTCGGTTGGCAAGCAGTAAATTCAACCTTGCCAACCGAACGATCCTCAGGCCGAGCGGTCAAGGCACGTCAGCGTAAATGACGGTAAATACTTGTATCTATAAAAAGAACGTTAAAAAGAAATGTCTTTAATAAATAATTATCGGACTTTGTCCATTTCTTAAAATATAAGATATATAGATGACATCGTGTCAATGGTAGACAGAGAAAGAAAACTACAAGATCTCCAAGACAAGGTAGTTTAAGAAAGAGGGAAGAAAAAGACTATCAAAGATATATTTGGTCGTTAACAAAAGGGGCAGCTCAGGTTACAAATTAGAGATGTCAAAATCAAGCTAGTACAGAAATATAACTATCTGAGATGTGTTTTATCAGGTGTCGGAAAACGTAAGACAAAGATCTGAACTCGAATTGAAATAGCAAAAGATGCCTTCCAATTTAAGCGTGCTACTAGGTTAGCATCTCGGTCCCACCCTTTTACTCTCGAGACAGTTAAATGTAACCGCAACAGCTTCTTCTATTACACTTCCTGACAGTGTAACTCCCTTCCTCTTACTTGCTTTCCTGATAACTATAACCTTCAAAAATTTAAATGTAATGTCAATCGACATCTTCTGATGCCTTGATCCCCGTTCTTCTTTTTATTCTTCTTTTTTTATCCTTTTCTCAACCCCATCCCCCCCAAATACCCAGTTTTTTTCTCTTACTTACAGAGATACATAATACATTTTAGATGCATCAAGGGTGGTCTTTAGTCATGCACTGTCCTCATCGTCGTTTTCGGGTTTTGCATCATATCGACCCAAACAGCAACCCCGATCTGACTCCGAACAAGTCAGGCAGCCTCCTTGAAATCGTCGTGCTACGCACCTCGACATTGCAAAAAAAGAAAATCATCTCGATCGACATAGCCAGGAGTCCGAGTTTTCTTACTGAAATACGTCTGTCAGTGTCAGTCCAATAAAAAAAAAGGCTTTTCAAACTCCCCGCCTATATACTGGTGTCTTTTTTGGGGGGGTTGCACCTTGACGTGGTGTAATGGTTAGAAAGCGTGTCTTGCTGCGATCAATTACGACTGAGTAGTAAGTTTGATCCTCACTGGGTGCCCCCTACTTTAGGCCTTATGCCACATCTAAGCTCTGCTTGGAAAATCGCAAAACTAGTCTTTTTATTTCATCTCGTTTCAACTCGAGTTACTTCCCCTGAATTTCTAACTTGGCAAGCTGGTCTCTTCTTTGCATAGTTTAATCCAAATATTTCACGTTTTAAATTGCTAATCCCACAATATTACTAACCCTTCAACTAAATCTACACGCGTACCGAACCCAAATCAATAATATACCTATACTAGAACTTACTAGTCTAACTTAACACTTATAGAAGCGTTTCTTAAAAAAAAATTATTCGCTATTCTTATTATCCGATAAATCTTTAAGTTTATATTTAACCAATACGCAAATGAAATTCCACAAAATTTCCTATACATGTATGTACACCCACGCATCTACATAGGTATCCTCTAGCTTACTAGTGGCACTACCGCCTTACTTGGGATAAAAGGCTTAAAAAACAGATGAACAAAGTATTAAAAAACGGGGAAATTACATTAGAAAGATAGAACAGACCACTGAACACCTATTTAGTATTAATCCTCCTATGCAGCAGCGAATATTGGTCATAACTTTCTCACAGATAAAGCGACTTGAATCAACGGGGATGAGGTTCTACATTAGAATGCTGAGAATAACATGTAAGCAATAAGAAGTGCTGAACTGCTCTGTAATATCAATCATCCTATATGGCAGTCGATGCTGGAGACTCGGGGATGAAGAAGAGACCTGTGGTAACATAGATAGTTTTAAAGAATGTGGAAACAAAATGGGCACTTTTCACTAGAATCAGAAAGAGGTAGCTGAAATTTCCAGGTCACAAGATGAGAAAAGAAAACTTAAAGAATTTGATACTCACAAGAGTAGCAGGGATGGTCAGCGATTAATCTACTTAACGTGCAAATGAATGAAATGTATAATAATAAGACAAACATTACTTAGAAGTACTAACGATAGGAACTTGTGGAGAGCCATGATCTCTTAAGTAGTGAAGAGTAACGTTACATAAAAGCAGATGAAAACGTGAAACTGTTCAGTTGTGTATAACAAGTAAAGAAACACTTCCCAATTATATATAGATTGATTTCCACCAACGGAATTCTTATAGGCATGAATGTATAAGTGTTGATTTGTGTTTTTACGGCTTATTTAAAGCTGAGACATCGTTTGGATTTTAAGAATAATTATTTCTTTTTTTCCGAGTGAATATTACATTAGCAAATTTTGTATAGAGTGTAGGGAGATAAGAATGATTTTTCCCGATAAAATTTCTACTATTTAGCACATAGCTGGAAGGAGAAGAGATAAATTCATGCTTTTCTAAAGGATAATAACGCTTAAGGTTACGAACTCGACTGCAATTCGAACACAGCTCCCCGATTTCTCATTCTGAGTTGCTATCCCTCACACTACCGCCCAAATTATATGTATATAAGCAATAAAACACTAAATGAATTATCTATTCCTTTATTTATCTACCTACGAGTTAATTATCTATATTGAGTAGATAAAGAAAAAGATTAATCGAGCTATACTGCACTAAAGGGAGATAATTATCAAACGATAAGCACTTCTGTCTGATAATAGTATTAACGGAAAATATTCATTTCAATCATAAATAATTTCCATTTTTGGAAACCTGTTGAGCGTATCATCCTATCTACTAATCATACTACGTAGCAATTAAGACTAAATATGGAGCACACTAACACAAGACAAAGTACAGCGCAAAAAGACAGCTGGATGACAAAGCTATTCATCCCGACCCAAAATATTAGCTCTATGGAAAAAAGGTAATGTTGGGTGAGTGGTGGAATCGTCGAGGTAGTATTTCTTCTTCTTCTTCTTCTTCTTCTTCTTCTTCTTCTTCTTCTTCTTCTTCTCAAAATATAATCATCTTTTTAAAGAATAAAGTTGATTAATGAAAACGGAATTTACTTATGATTCGACTTTAATGTTTATACATTTTCTACAGATGCTGGTGCTCCAGCTGAAATAAAACTCAGCACTTTTAATGTTTTTATCTTTTGTGTGCGTTTTAGGTTTGCTGCATCTCTTGACTTTTGGCGGAACACGATCTTTCTCTCACCATCTGTGTTAAACTTCAAAAAGAAATAATGAATAAAAGAGAAATGGAAAGTTTGTCGTATTTCACGGTTACATAGAACGAAATAAGATTAATTAAAAAAACATTTGAACCAGGAAGGTGTCAGCGATTTTGATAGGGTAATTAGGTGTAGGTGTGTGTGATGGAGGATGGGTAATGTCACAGAAAGGTTGACAAGCGCTGTGTTAGCGCGTTCGTTTTTCATTAAGTTGTACTCAGTGACAATGATACACCCATTTCTCGAAAGTAGATGAAAGATTATTTATTCTATATCATAAAAAATAATTTGAATTTATGCGTGTTTATCGGCTACGCATCCGTATCTCCGCCATATGCGATAATGATATATTCTGTTATAGTAAAACGGGGGGAGGGGGTTGTCTCTTTCTCGACGTCAATAAGTGGGCATAAACAGCAGAATATTTCTTAAGTAGGGGATGACAGGCTTCAAATAATTTGCTTTTTGTTTATTTTTTGTTGTTTTTTTTTTTCTTAATTTCTTTGCAGCATTTATTTTTAATTATATACGGCACAGAATTCTTTCTTAGATGCAATAGGAGATTTAACTGCATGGATAAAATCCTAACTTTCATGGTGCAGATGATTGCAAAATTATTTTCCGTCTCTTTTTGTTGATACACATCGACAAATTTTAAAATATTCGCATGAAAAAGAAATACGAAAATTTGAAACTATAGTTGAAAGAATTATATACAGGGGTTGGACAAAATAATTGGAAC